ATTGTCCAACGCATGGACCGGATGTGACCGTTGTCCAACGCATGGACTGGATGGTAATGCATATCCACACGAGGATTTAATAGCAATGCATGTCCAACACGAGGACTAAGTGGAAAGGGGTGTCAACACGAGGACTAAAAGGTATGCTTGTCCAACACGAGGACTGAGTATAAGAAAGTATGCAGCCATATTCCCGTACTTACCCTACTGTACTAACTTACTTGTGTCCGAAAGGTCATCTCATATGTATAGTGAAATCATATTCATTGCAGATAAATACTCAATAAACCAGGCACTCCTCAGTCCAAACATGGTAGATAGTACCCTTATATTAAACACTGTATACATACATACTTATGTATGTGTATTATATTATATATATTATATTATATATATATATATAATATATATATATATATATATATATATATATATATATATTTATATATATATATATATAATATATATATATATATATATAGTATACTATTATATATATATATATTATATACAGCAGATGTTCTTTAGACGTAGCACGAGACGAAACAGAAAGAAAATACTGCGATGAGTCGACTCGTGCTCAATATGAGTCGACTCAGCAGAACACAAATAATAGCAGGAAAGGATTTCATGAGTCGACTCATGACAGTCGTGGGTCGACTCATGACTTATGGGTCGACTCGTATACTGACGAGTCGACTCAGCAGAAGTAAAAAGGCAACACAACTAGACTTCGTGAGTCGACTCATGACAGTCATGGGTCGACTCAACCTGTTGAGTCGACTCGTGATGAGTCGTGAGTCGACTTACGGGCTGAAATCTGCATATATCACAAGTTAAATTCGCCAAATCGATCCATCCTTCCATTACACTGATCTACATCTTTCCATACTTCCACTATACTGATCTACGCCTCCCTAACTATCAATTCTAAACTATGAGGCAGTGAATGAATTCATACATAGCATGAGAAATGATTACTTGCATGTTAAACCTAACATTTAACCCCTAAACATGAAAAAGAGCATTTAATCAAAATAAAACTCATATCTTTATTTCTTTAAATAAATTCCCAGATCTGGGTTTTCATCAAAACTTGTTGGAATCTGAAACATATGATCTTTAGCATTTACACTAATAAGAACATCGTTTTATATTTGAAAATATGTCTTAGGCTCAATAAAACTCATGAAACATTTATAAATTCATAAAAGCATGGGAGAGAGATTGGGCGAGATGTTACTCGCCTCAGATGTGATGAAGAACGATTCCCTTCGCTGAAATCCAAAAGAAACTGCTGAAAAATCCTTTGGAACGTCCCAAAATAACCAAGAACACCTAGGGTTTGAGAGAGGAGAGAGGGGGACTAGGGTTTCTGGGGAGAAATGATGAATTGAAGTATTTTCGGGTAGAGGAGCATATATATAAACAGTCAAACCCGACCCGATACCCCAAACTGACCCGAACCGTAAAACTGGAAAACCCTCGATGAGTCGACTCATGCTCAGTCGTGAGTCGACTCATGACTCATGGCTTATGGGTCGACTCATAATATAATGAGTCTACTTAGCAGAGACTTATGACAACGGGAGATGATATCATGAGTCGACTCATGACAGTCATGGGTCGACTCATGAGCTGAAAACTGAGTTCTTTGACTCTGATGTCTATGATTTGCAAATTTGCAAACTCAACCTCATAACTAATGCGTATATACATTCTCATAAGCTCAAAAATGCTAGATTTCATGCACAACCATGCCATGAAGATATTTTTCACATATTGAATATTGCGTTTCACTAATATCCACATATATGAATTATCAAAATCAACGAGGTCTTACAGTAAATTTACCTATGGTGTTGTCAACAATTTTTTCCAAAATTTTCTCATTCCAAACCAAACAAAATAATAGGAATTAGTTAGTTTTTATAAAGTTGGATTCTATATTTTCATGTTATGAAATACACATAGAAAGGTAGAAAAAGGGACTTCAAAGCATTTTATGACAACACAAATTTATCCTCAAAATTTTTATAGATTAGGAAGGAGTCCATAAAACACACCCTTTTCCTAGTCCTATTCATTTCAACTAGTAACCTAAACATCTTCTTAGAGCATTTCCCTCCAATCCAACCTGTGCATAATCAAATATGAGTTGAATTAATTTTCTAATAGGGTTGGTTCAAATTAAGTGACAATAGTGGAAGCATGAAATATCTTTAACTGCCAAGATATAAAGATACAAACTTTAGATAAAATTTAGGATTCATTGCACTTAAAAACCCTATAGTTAAAAAAACACTTATATACTTTAAGTTACAAAACATAGAGTAAATATATACTTTGTTGTCCGTCGTCTAAATTTCATAAACACAGTTAAATTTTACCCAAAAAGACGACATCACCCTTCAACAAATATAATCGTTAAGATAGAAAGTTGTAATTAATACAAATCAATGAGAATAGATAACATTTTAAATAGACATATGACCAGCATGTGGGAACTTCCTAAGGAATATTCTCATGGCCAACTAGCAAAAGGCTATAACAACATGCACAGTTTTTATAAGTTAGGTTATATATTTGCTCTGTTTTATAACTTAGGGTATACAAATACTTTTTTGTGAAACTACATGATATTTAGATTTGACAATTACATTTTTGGATAACTATCTCTTAAGTTAATTAAATTAAATAAAGTCATTTGATCGCACAGTTAATAATTTTCAAGTGCTGTAAGATCGAAGTTCATGCCAACATAAAAAAAAATCATAAATCAAATAATACAAAAAAGTAAAATAGAAAAGGGATTTAGATGCTATTTGATTTGTTGCACAAATAAATTGTAGCAAATATTGTAGCAAATCAATTTTAAATTCGTTGTTTGGATATCTGCAGTTATATTGTAGGAAATATATTTTCAATACAAATTTAGTGTTTGGTTGAAAAGAAATTAGTGCAAAGCTGTATAATTTTTTGATATAAGGAAACCTTGATGTAGGTGGTTTTCTATTTGGATGTAAAAAGATTTAATTTGATGAGGTGAAATTATTTTTATTTTTTTAATTTTCTTTTTGAAGCTTGTAGCTTTTCCTCCTACTAAATTGATTGTAGATGCAAGTCTATTTATATTTTTTAATTACAAAACTGCAAACCAATTAATAAATTTACAAATCTGGTTGCTCTATTTACTTTTACAAATCTGTTCCATCTAACAAACAGGAGCATGTTCGTGAAAAAATGGATTATGATCGATAAATGGATTATGATCCAAGTGTTTAGTAAATCTAGTGGATTATAATCTATTTCAATAGTAGAGTGGGTGGTAAATGGGTAGATTATGACCCATCAAAAGATAATCCTCCCAAAGGTAAGCTAAGGCACCCTAGCTCATTGTTTAGTGGACTATGTCATAAGGTTTGATCAAGTAAAAGATAATTATACGCCCTATAATATCACAAAATGCAAGACCTTGTTTAATATCCTTTTCATTTTTCAGTCTATTTTGAACTTTTCTACCATTTTAAAATTATAAAAACCCCAAATTTTGGAGTAACGAAGCAATCCTCCGTTTCAAAATAAGAGCGCATGCCCTACCTCAATTGTATATATGCCTAATTTCAGTTTTTCCAACAAAAACAAGTGTAAATATATATGTTCATCCTCTGACTAAAAGACGAGCCTAATTTCAGTTTTTCCAACAAAAACAAGTGTAAATATATATGTTCATCCTCGGACTAAAAGACAATCCTAATTTCAGCTTTTCCAACAAAAACAAGTATTAAAAAGATTTAGATCAGAACCTAACCTAATAAATCTCCTCCCCTGATATTTTCTGTTACACAGCCTAAACCTGCCCGCCTACACCAGCTACAAAATTCCACCTGTACGTCTACCCGTTTTCATTGGAATTAATGGATAAAGTTTAGTCAGCCTAAGATTTCGAATCGTCGCTTATAAAACGGATCGTACAAGAAGCCATCTAGCCATTGAAATGCTAGGATTAGTTACCTTATCCTCTTGGTTCTTTTAGGATATAATCCACTTTTTTATCCACCAAGGATAAAGACTAATTCATTCATACACTGTTAGATTCAATGGAAAGAGCTCGCAGAGGAGGAGGAGAAAGCAAAAGATGGAACAAGTATGCTTTTGCTTGTTCTATCATAGCTTCATTGATCTCCATTCTCATGGGCTATGGTGACTTCTTCCCATATCTTCTTTTATAAATTATATTTTTTTCAAAGCGGAATGTTGTTTTGTTCCTGTATTATTTTTTAATATTTTTTAGCTTCGGCGTAGACACGGGAGTTATGAGTGGAGCAATGCTTTTCATCAAAGAAGATCTCAAGATCAACGACGTACAGGTAGAAGTCCTAGCCGGCATCCTGAACCTCTGTGCTCTCGTGGGCTCATTACTCGCCGGTAGGACCTCCGATTGGATCGGCCGCAGATACACCATTATCCTCGCCTCAACGATTTTCTTCGTCGGCTCAATCCTCATGGGGATATCTCCATCCTACGCGATCCTAATGACCGGTCGTTGCGTTGCTGGCATCGGAGTGGGCTACGCCCTGGTGATCGCTCCCGTCTATGCGACTGAGATCTCATCGCCCTCCTCTCGGGGATTTCTCACGTCGCTACCGGAAATTTGCATCAGCATCGGCATCTTGCTCGGATACGTGTCTAACTATTTCTTCGCTAAGCTTCCTTTAAAATATGGCTGGCGGGCAATGCTTGGCATCGCTGCTCTTCCTTCCCTAGCCCTTGCCATCGGGATTCTGGCAATGCCAGAATCACCGAGGTGGCTCGTAATCCAAGGACGGGTAAAGGACGCACGAGAAGTGCTGCTAAAAGTATCCAACTCCAAGGAAGAAGCAGAAGCAAGAATATCGGAGATCAAGGATGCCGCTGGCATAGTCAGCGACAGCAACGACGTTATAACTTGTCGAACGACGAATGCCAAAGGCGAAGGCGTCTGGAAGGAGCTCTATCTAAGGCCTACGCCGTCGGTGAGGCGAATATTGGTCGCGGCGACTGGCATACATTTCTTCGAGCACGCCACCGGTATCGAGGCAGTCGTGCTGTACAGCCCTAGAATATTCCACATGGCAGGTGTAACTACAAAGAAAAAGCTGTTGCTCGCAACGGTGGGCGTCGGGGCGACCAAAACATCCTTCATATTGGTAGCGTCTCTGTTGTTGGACAAGCTCGGGAGGAGGCCGCTCTTACTGACGAGTTTATTCGGGATGTTCGTGTCGCTATCGGGCTTAGGGCTTGGGCTTACGATGGTGGCCCATAACCATAAATGGGCCATCGCTTTGTCCATTTCCTGCTTATTGTCTAACGTTGCATTCTTTTCTATTGGGCTTGGCCCAATTACTTGGGTTTACAGCTCTGAGATTTTTCCTTTGAGGTTGAGGGCCCAAGGAGCTAGCTTGGGGGTGGCAGTGAACAGGGTGATGAATGGGATCATATCCATGACCTTTATATCTTTGTACAAGGCTATTACTATTGGGGGAAGCTTCTTTATGTTTTCAGGGATTGCAGTTTTTGCTTGGTTCTTTTTCTTCTTCTTTTGTCCGGAGACTAGAGGGGTGCCATTGGAGGAAATTGAGGGTATCTTTCGCAAAGAGGGGTCTTCTAATGATAAGGCGGTGGAATTAGAGGAAACGTGACGAGGGCCCGGACTAGTTGTGGAATGGTGGATAAGTAAGAAAGCCCATTATCGTTTCCAATGTACTTGTATATGTTAGGGGAGGTTGAACTGTAATAGATGAAAAATGTTATCACTGTTATGTTTGTTAGCTATAGGACTTGGTTAATGCGAGATTCTTTTTTTTTTTTAATTTCATAGTGATGTGCATTTATTATGTGTTTACTTCTGGAATTCTTTGTCAGAATATAGTTTTCAATGATAAAAGAATAATAGTAAATATACAAATAGTAATAAGTATTTCCTGCATTGTAAGTTAAAAAGCAGACAGTTACGCCTCATTATGAATACAATCTCACATCGGAATAATTATAATTGAGCATTTGAGCTATCATCAAAACTAAATACCTAATAGTTTAAACTTTTTAAGTTAATGTTATGTAACCCTTTCAGACCAATCAATGCCAGAATAAGTCTAACTACTTACTAACAAGTTGTATCAGAGCCTAAGTTATAGCTGAAGGGAGGATAAAACTTAATGTGAAGTTCGAAGGTGTTGAGAGAAAGAATGAGGTCATGGTTGTTAAATATAGTCGATAGGCACGTTTGTACTTTTTTCTTTTAGTCTCACATTGCATAGGATATATAGTAGCCACTCCTCTTCCTCTTGTAAATAAAAACTATCTATGTAATGAATGAAATAATGTTGATTGCAGTGGATGGATGGCGTAATAGGTTTGTGAGCTTTGGGCCTATAGCAGCGGCGAAGTGGTAGCGAGGACAAGAGGAGACGTGATAGTGGTTGTGGTTTAGAGACTAGCGTCCAAGTGACAATGATGCAATTGGCTACAGGTTGAAGCATCCAGCGATAGTGGCGCTAGACTTTCGTGGTTGCAAAGAGGATGAAACAGAATGTGAGGGCAGTGATGATGTGGATTGAGGTTAGAATTTAGTGCAGTAGCATTGTGGTGGTGAGCTAGCAAGGAATACGGTTATCCTAGGATATGTTGCGATGGTGAGCGAGATTGATGGTTGAAGTTGTGATAGTGTGATCAAAGTTGGGGTAGAAGTCTCTGAGGGGAAGCGCAAAGATAAAGTTTGCTGGAATGCACCCAAGTAACCTTCAACATTCCGCCACTAGCTCGTACCATGCTTTGACCAAACCCATGACCTTCATCGCCTGCCCTTTCCCATATCTATTGGCCACCACCAAGCTCCATCGTCAGGCATTTGGAACAAGACTACTGCGAGTCTCTGAGGCCGACACTTCAAATTAATGTCAACTAGACTGACACGATCGGCATTCTTGGCAAAGCTCCCCCGCAAACCAGCACCCTCGGCTAGCACTGTTCCAATTGAGCTCTCGCCAACCAGCACCCTTGGCCAACAACTCCTAGGGTTGGGCTCTCCCCGACCAACAGCTCCCTGGCCATGCTTCCTCCACCGGCCAGCTCTCCTAGTCATGCTTCCCCATACGACGAGTTTCAGGCAAACTCCCTCAACCAACTCTTCTTGGCAAGCTCTTTCCGGCTAGCCCTCCCCTTCTCTATCAACACTATCATCAGATAGCTACAACCATATCGTATCTTTCCATACTATTACTAGATAACTGTTGAAGATCAACACCAGCCCATTTCAAAGCTCAATCTATTTTCCGCCTAGGGAAAATAAAGGCCCAAATCCATTTCATCTAAGCCCAAGACAATGGAAGCTTCTCAACAAATGTGGAAGAAATATATTTTTAAGAGAAAATTATAGAAGGATGTAGAAAGAAGATCTTTTAGGAGAAGTGTGTAGAATATGGTAATAATGTATGGCTAGGATTGATTCTTCCACACACTTCCTAGCCCTCTTAAGCAACTATAAATAGGGGTCTTGGGCTCTCATTTGTGCAAGCAAGCAAGAAGTAAGCTTGAAAGCTTGTGTGTGTAGTGTAGGCTTGTGTGAGTGTTCACCAAAATAAAAGAGTTGTGTGAAAGTGAGGTGCTCTTGTAAGAACAAGTATTGTACTCTCTAGTGTTCTATTAATAAAAGTTTCCTTTCTTTAGATGGTTGTATTCTTCAAATTCCATCAAAGTGGTATCAGAGCAAGGTTTGATCTAACTAAGCCAATCGAAGGCGCTCGTGTACGAGATGGCGAACATGATCCAGCTACAAATTCTGAAACTAATAATGACCAATTATGACAACTGGAGTATCCAGATAAAAGTATTGCTCGGCTCGCAAGACTTGTGGGAGCTTGTAGAGAATGACTACACTGAACCGGAGTCGCCTGCAGCACAAGCAACTCTCACCGGCACACAGAAGAGTGAACTGAAGGAGGTCAGAAAAAGAGACAAAAATGCTTTGTTCCTAATATTCCAAAGTATAGATGAATCAACGTTTGAGAAGATTTCCAACGAACTATCTTCTAAAGAAGCATGAGAAATTTTACAAAAATCCTATCAAGGTGCAGAAAGAGCCATAATGTACGCCTCCAAGCAATAAGAGTTGAATTTGAAAATTTGAAGATGAAAGCTACAGAATCAATATCAGACTATTTTAGTAGAGTTCAAACGATAACTAATCAAATAAAGAGAAATGGAGAAGAAATTAATGATGTAAGAATTATGGAGAAGATACTTAGGACTTTAGACTCTAAATTTAAATATATTATTCCGGTAGTACAAGAGTCTAAAGATCTTTTCGAAGTTTCTATTGATGAATTGCAAGGTTCTCTGCAAACTTATGAACAAGATATAAACATTAGTTCAAATCAAGCGGAGAATCTAGAGAAAGCCTTGTAGAGTAAGATGACTATCAAATAAGATAGTCGAAGAGGACGTGGAGGCTACAGAGGCAGATGCTCTTTTCGAAGTGGCTCAAATTTCAAGCAAGGGCGTAGGAGACAGTACCAATGTAGCCATGAAAATCAAGATCGAAATAGAGATCGTGAATGATTATTCGACTAAGGACGAGGTCATGTGTAATGACCGTGAAATTTTGATACTAGTTACAATAATTTTTTGATAATTTAAAATATTTAATTATTATTTTTAAAAGAGTATTTGTATTTTTCTCATTTTTTAGAATTTTCTATGATTTAAAAGTCCAAAATTTCTATTTATTTAAATAATTTTGATATTTATAAATTAACTTAGTGTAGTAAAAATTCCTGGAATTAATCCGTTATGTTATCGATACTATCACGTATCATTTTAAATAAACGCTGTATTATTATTACTATAATGTGTTATTTCATATAATATGTTGTATTATTATTAGGAAAAATTGCTTCTAGGCCCAAAATTTATATTTTCAATATGCTCTAGCCCCTCCTACTTTTTTTAATGTTCTTTAGCCCCTCCTTTTTGAAAAAATATGGCCAAGCCCCTCCATCATGATTCCAGCTCATTTCAGCACTTGATTAGACATGCCAGCTCATGATTAGACATATCAGCTGATTTAAATTCCGAATTTACCCTCCTCTTTCTTATGTCAGTGGATGTTAACTCTTTTCTGTAAAATGTTAACTCTTTTCTGTAACATGTTAACTCTTTTCGTAACATGTTAACTCTTTTCTGTAAAATGTTAACTCTTTTCTATAACATGTTAACTCTTTTCTGTAAAATGTTAACTTTTTTCTGTAACATGTTAACTCTTATACATAACATGTTAATTCTTACAGCTAACATGTTAACTCTTACAGCGAACATGTTAACTCTAACAACTAACATGTTAACTCTTACAGCTAACATGTTAGCTGTAAGACTTAACATGTTACAGAAAAGAGTTAACAGTTAATAGAAAAGAGTTAACATGTTACAGAAAAGAGTTAACATGTTACAGAAAAAGAGTTAACATTAATGTGACCACGCGAAGTTCCTCAGGACGCGCTGGAGACGGAGCGGGGAAGGGGCAAATGGGGACCGAAGGAGGAGGAAGGAGGTGCATCGGGGGAGGGAGACGGGGGGGAGGCGAGGGAGGTGCAGCGTGGGAGGGAGGCGGTGAGGAGGAGGAGGGAGCTGTAGGGGGGAGGCGGGGGGGGTTGTGGGAGGGAGGCGGGGGGGAGGTGTAGGGGGAGGGAGGCGGGTGGGGGGGGAGAGGGTGTTAGGGGGGAGGGGAGGGAGCGGGCGCGCAGTCGGAGGCGAAGGGGGAACAGAGGAGGAAGGAAGGGTGGTAGGGGAGGGTAAATGGTATTGTGTATAAATTTGGCATAGAACTACTTGGGAAATGGGCTTTTAATAATTTTTTCGAAAAAGGTGGGGCTGCAGCACATGTTTGAAAGTTGGGGCTAGAGCATATTGAAAATATAAATTGGGGCCGCTTGAAGCAATTTTTCCTTAATTATTAAGATTTATTTTGTATAAATTTTTTATAATTATCTATTATTTACATATATTTGTTGTAATTAGTAATAAAACTGGTACGTTTTATTGTATAATATAAATTTCCATAATTATTTGATTTTAAATATAAATAATTATATTCTTTATTAAATTATTCTGCGTTTAATTGTACAATTGTTGTATTATTTTTACTATTGTGTATTATCTGTGTATTGTAATAATAGTATGTTTATTTGTAAGATAATTTTTCTATATTTTTGATTCTCAAAATGTATATTAATTATTTCATTTAACTATCTAACTGCCTAACTATTCCATAAGAAATAAATATATATATATAAATATATAATTTTCATGTGAACCCCACCGCCCCATCTTCATATTCTCTCTCTTCGTTCTCTCTCTTCCTCTCTCCTCCTCCTCTCTCTCATTTCTTCTCACCGTCGCCGCTGTTAGACCCAAGAGGGTGGGTGATTAGGGTCTTATGCTAATCTAATTTGATTTTATGCCAATTAAAACTAATTCAAACTATTCTTCTTGCAAGATAGATATACAATATGTTATAAGTAAGAATAAGCAATATGAGCAAATGAATATATCCTAGCAATGAGATATACTATGAAATATATGCAAGGATATATAAACTAACACAAGGGTAAAATAAACAATCTACAAATTACTATGAAATATATGCAAGGATATATAAACTAACACAAGGGTAAAATAAACAATCTACAAATGTGATAGAGAAATTTATGATGGCGACAAGAATGTAATGAACACTAAGCACAAATGAAACGCCAAAGTAAACTCAAACACAAGCAAATGATCACGGAGTTCGGACCTTCCGTCCTACGTCTCCGCT